AACCGAGCGATCCGTCGCCAAACACGACAACCACATCCATGTCCGGTCGGCACAGCTTAGCGCCAATTGCAAAGCCCGCGCCCACTCCTAACGTGCCGAACGCTCCGGGATCTAACCATCGCAGGGGGCCCCGGGGTCTCAGCACATAAGCAGCTGAACCAACAAAGTCTCCGCCGTCGGCCACTATAATCGTGTTGTCGTCCAACGATTCGTCCAAATCGTGCAAAACCTGACCAACAAATCCACAAATCAATCAATGGTTCAAAAAATTTACACAAAAATTGATTCACAACTTACTTTCAATGGATTCAAGTGCTCGTCCGGATTGTTCTCCGCCTGAGTCCTGGCGTTCTTCTCCTTTTCGGTCTCCCTTTCCCTCAAAGTGCTGATCCACTGGTCGTCCACTTTGAAGCCCTTGAGACTGTCGGCCAAGTCGACGAAGAACTGGGCCGAGTCTGCCTGCACTGCGAGCGCGGGATTCCAGAAGAGTTTCGCGTTTTTATACAATTGCTCTTTACTTCGGTTAACGGCAATCACTTTCGACTTCTTCGAGAACGTGCGCCCGTAGCCCAGCCTGAAGTCGGCCACACCTCCGCCCAGAATCACTACATCGGCGTCCCGGAGGGCCTCACGTCGAGCCTGTTTCATGTTGATGGGCGACGCCTTTCCCAACAGACCTCGAGACATACCTCCCAAATAGACCGGAATACCCAACGACTGCCAAAAACGAGAACTCAATTAAAAAATGGACAAAAACTAATTGTTTGAAAACACACCTCAATGGCAGCCCTGAGTTTGTCGGCGCCGACCGGTGGGAGCACTGACTGCGAGCCCAATATAATGAGAGGTTTCTTGGCTTTAGAGAGCATTTCTGCGGCGGTCGACACATCGGTTTTCGATGGGAAGGGAATGTCTACCGGCACGGGATGTGTGGGCCACTCCTGATCGAAGGCACCGGCGAACAGGTTTTGCAGATAGTTATTGAGATACCAATTGACAACTTTGCCGATAAGTCCCTTGGCGTTAGAACTCGAGGCGATCTCCTTCTTAATCACCTGAAACGGATACAACACATCGATGGGTAGCTCCACAAACACGGGGCCGGGAGTTCCGCTTTGGGCCACTTTGAAGGCTTCGCGCAGTTTCGGCACAATATCTCTGACTTTGGTGACAGTCGTCGCCATCTTTGTGATCGGTTTGAAGAGCGAACTAATAGTTTGATTAGAAAATAAATTATCATTCAATTGATGCAAACAATTGGCGCCACAATAGAGACTCACATCTGATCGATGTCTTGAAGAGCGCCTTTGCCTTTGAGAAGAGAGGCCGCGGCGCCGCCTAACACCACGATTGGCGACTCAGCCATCTGTGCGTTCTTGACGGCCGTCACAGTGTTGGTCACTCCGGGACCCGCCGTCACGACAGCCACGCCAGGGATGCCCGACAGTCGGGCGGTGGCGTCGGCCGCAAACACAGCTGTCACCTCATGCCTGGTGTCCACCACTCGGATCCCGAGCTTCTCGGATGCGGTGAGAATGGGAGCGATGTGTCCGCCCGACAGAGTGAAGATATTCTCGACGCCATGCGATCGCAACACAGCCGCCACCAGCTCTCCTCCGTGTCGGACACTCTTCTCGTCCACCTTTGATGAAGACATCAATTCGTCAGACATTTGGTCACAAGTATTGATAACTTTTTTATTAGTATTTAGTGATAAACGCAAACATTTTTTCCTACAAACTTATGGACACGTTATGTGATCTGAAGTTCAGATTGAGAACTGATCTGAAGAAATATAAGGCTATCTGACAGTAGATATGAAAGTGGAAAGGGATCTAATGGTAGGGAAGGAGTGACAGGCATCTCAAGCAATATGTAATTTGCAATTAAGTTAACAAAAAAAAGTTAATATTTTATGGATTTTAGCAATCATTTAAAGTTTAGCCTATTTTCTGTGAATATATTTCCCAAATAATGTGATTATAATTGACTTGAAACTGTAAACGAAACAAAAAGTCAATGGGAAAGACATGCGGAGGAAAGGCATGTCTGAAAAAAGGGGNGACACGGAGGAGAGCTGGTGGCGGCTGTGTTGCGATCGCATGGCGTCGAGAATATCTTCACTCTGTCGGGCGGACACATCGCTCCCATTCTCACCGCATCCGAGAAGCTCGGGATCCGAGTGGTGGACACCAGGCATGAGGTGACAGCTGTGTTTGCGGCCGACGCCACCGCCCGACTGTCGGGCATCCCTGGCGTGGCTGTCGTGACGGCGGGTCCCGGAGTGACCAACACTGTGACGGCCGTCAAGAACGCACAGATGGCTGAGTCGCCAATCGTGGTGTTAGGCGGCGCCGCGGCCTCTCTTCTCAAAGGCAAAGGCGCTCTTCAAGACATCGATCAGATGTGAGTCTCTATTGTGGCGCCAATTGTTTGCATCAATTGAATGATAATTTATTTTCTAATCAAACTATTAGTTCGCTCTTCAAACCGATCACAAAGATGGCGACGACTGTCACCAAAGTCAGAGATATTGTGCCGAAACTGCGCGAAGCCTTCAAAGTGGCCCAAAGCGGAACTCCCGGCCCCGTGTTTGTGGAGCTACCCATCGATGTGTTGTATCCGTTTCAGGTGATTAAGAAGGAGATCGCCTCGAGTTCTAACGCCAAGGGACTTATCGGCAAAGTTGTCAATTGGTATCTCAATAACTATCTGCAAAACCTGTTCGCCGGTGCCTTCGATCAGGAGTGGCCCACACATCCCGTGCCGGTAGACATTCCCTTCCCATCGAAAACCGATGTGTCGACCGCCGCAGAAATGCTCTCTAAAGCCAAGAAACCTCTCATTATATTGGGCTCGCAGTCAGTGCTCCCACCGGTCGGCGCCGACAAACTCAGGGCTGCCATTGAGGTGTGTTTTCAAACAATTAGTTTTTGTCTGTTTTTTAATTGAGTTCTCGTTTTTGGCAGTCGTTGGGTATTCCGGTCTATTTGGGAGGTATGTCTCGCGGTCTGTTGGGAAAGGCGTCGCCCATCAACATGAAACAGGCTCGACGTGAGGCCCTCCGGGACGCCGATGTAGTGATTCTGGGCGGAGGTGTGGCCGACTTTAGGCTGGGCTACGGCCGCACGTTCTCGAAGAAGTCGAAAGTGATTGCCGTTAACCGAAGTAAAGAGCAATTGTATAAAAACGCGAAACTCTTCTGGAATCCCGCGCTCGCAGTGCAGGCAGACTCGGCCCAGTTCTTCGTCGACTTGGCCGACAGTCT